GGGCAGCTTCCCTAGCGCAAACACGGCGCAGTGCTGTGCTCTGCCCTGGCATGAACTGCACGAGACACTGGCACTCCCGCCCCAGCCCAGCGAGTGCGCAGCAGGGCCAGCGTAGGACACTGGATGCTGCACATTCCTGGGCAGCAGCGGCAAATCTCAACCTGCACACGGTGTTCCTGAGGGCTGCACGGCTGCGCTCTGCGCTTAATGGGCCCTCCACAGCCGCTGCACCCGAGGCCCTGCCAGGACAGTCCCAGTCTCAGCGCCGCGTACTTGTGCTGGAAGGAGCCTGGCAGGGGTGCGGCTGGAGATGAAATTGGCACAAGGTGCTGAGCTCAGCTACTGCATCACAAGCTGGCAGCTCTGCAGGGAATGTTCTGTGCTGACGTTCGCGCTGAGCTCGGCACAAATCGCCCGGCTCCCCGGTGCGCTCTGCTGGGCGGGGCTCCCAGACTGGTTTGGTCACACACCACCCCTCCGCCCCTGGGCTGGCGAAGCAAAGTCCAGCGCATAGTGGCTCAGCATGTGGGTTTTGGGGGCACGCGTTAGGGCACATGACGCCCAACCTTCCGGTCGCTTTACAGGGCCAGAGCCTGTTTTCTGTCCTCGTGGCTAGTAGCCCCTTTAGTGTCCATGGGCTGACGACTCTCCATATGAGTAGGAGGAGCAGGGCGTAGCCCCGAATACTGGACCCTCATTGCCTGCTGGGGCACAGGAGGGGCTTAGTGCAGCAGCATTGGTTTGACTGTCAGCCCCCTCCCTTAGAGGATGTGGAGTTCCTGGGGGCGAGGCAGGATAGATGGTTTTGGGGTTCAGCTCTGGGCCAGGACTCAGGAGACCCCCTGCTCTCGGCTCTTCCGCTGACTCTGGGACGCCTTGAGCAAGTCACTGTTCCTGCGTTTTCATTGTGTGGACATTAGGTATTGTCTTGTCCCAATGCTTACCCATGATACTCTCATCTGGCCATCTGCCAGAGAGGCCAGCGTCTCAGAGTGGCTTTTTGAGGGCTGGGGG